TTTGCGTCATAAAGCACAAATCTGTTAAGGCCGTTCTGTGTCAAGTTCGGAATAGCAGGCTGAACTGATGTACGTTATTTTATGGTTTTCGTAGCTGCTATTGCGGCCTGCAAATTAACTTCAGCATATATTCCTACTATTATTTGAAGGAGACCATCATCAGGGTTCTAAAATGGCAGATATACAAGGTTAAGTCGCGTGCAGAACACAGTTAAAACATGAGCGTGAGACGGAACGAGACATGCGTGGTGTGAGTGGGGGCGGGGGGAGGAGGGGTGAGGAGAAGCGAAATTAAATCTGATGGTGCTAGGTGGCATGTGTTGTGTGGGGACTGATGGCCGGATGACAACCTTCGATGATACAGCGTCTGTCAGATTGGCTGCCTAGCTACGCTGTGTTACGGTCGTGGGAACTTGGATTATATTTCGGGTTGAGATTTGGAACGTCATTTTGCGAGTATTCGCGTGCAAACCGCTGGATATGACTGCAATTTAACGAGTTTTCCTCTCTCTCTCTAGTCATCCACTGGGTCTCTTGCCAGCTCCGTCTAGTATAACTGAGGAACACTAAATTGACTGAGTGTACGGAAAGACTTACGTTGAATTAAAGAACTATACGAGAATATTTCTCTGTTAAATCACCTCACATAAACGCATCCCGGTAAACCAAGAGTAAATGGTGAGTTATATTTTGATTGACTAGAAATAAGCGACGCCAAGGGCAGCGTTCGCTAAACATAAGAAGCAGCAAACAAGTCATTCGCCTGAAATCTCCGATTAACCATTGGACCCATCAGGAATGACGACAACGAATTTTGTTCTTCCAGCGCATGGATTCCGGCAGGAATTGCAGGACTATTTTCACAAAGGTAAAATATGATTAACGTTGGTACCAGACGTGATCTAATAGTTGCACTTTTGCGAGTATGTCTGTCACTCTTCGTAGGCGAAGCTACCAGTGAGAAAGCCGTAAATGATAAGCTGTATACTCACATTTTCTGATTTGAGCTGCCGAATCAGTCGGTCGCGTTCTTCCATGCCATTGCGCTGCTCATCAAGCACCCGATTGAGGTTGGCAGCTTCCTCTTCATACCGCCTCAGTTGAACTTGAAGAGCTTCGAGTTTACGAACATGTTTCTCTTGCTGCGAAAGGAAGAAAGGT